AGCTCCAGGAGGTGCTGTGGACATGTCCCAGCGTGCTGCTGGAGGAGCCGCACCAGCTCCACCACCACTTCCAGGTGAGGGGGGCAGCCACAGGGGACACATCTCCTGCGTGGTGCGTACCAGGGCCAGGAGTACATGAAACACCCCGTCCTGCCCGCAGTACGTGTACTTCAGGATGGGAGTCCAGCAGAAGGAGATTGTGAAGGCCCGCCTTTTCCGAATGTCCTTTGCCGAGCTCAGGAACCGGCACATCTTCCTGGAGCGCCGGGGGCTCTACCAGACCCCGTACAAAGGCCAGACCCAAACTAATAACCCAAAACTGAAGGACATCATTCAGCATTCTGAGAAAGACTTCTTGGCCAACCTGGCCCGCTCTACCCCAGAGGAGTATGAAGTCTTCAAGAAACTGCTGGCTCGAGAGGAGGAAGAAGAGGAGAACAGGGATGCTGTGTATGCAGAGGAAGATGAAGATTTTGATAGTGAAGGAAGTAAAACAGCCTGAGAGTGAGAAAGGGAGGCTCCAAGATGCCCATGTTCTCCCATGCTAGTGCACTCACAGGAGCCACTGCACTTGTGGGTGCTTAGGGCCCCCACCCCACACAGGCACATGCCTTGGTGGCTGCAGGGCCCCATGTGTGGAGTCCCACTGAAGGGCTGGCTAGAGGGCTCCATGTGTGGAGCTCCAACTGAGGGGCAGCAATAAATCCCATGTATCAGAACACAACAATAACCCTTGTTCCTCCTCATTGACCAGCTACTTTAAAAATATCCAGTTTCCATAATGTGTTTTTATTTGGAAAAAACCCCAAAATAACCAATTTATTTCCAAGGCTAGGTTCAATTTTCTAGCTGCAGTACATAGTGTGTTGGCGGTGGAGGAGGAGGTGGCAGGCTACTGTGCCAGCTCACAGTGGTACCACGCTGCCTGTCACTGCAGGAACAGATCATGGGACCACCCCATGGCAGGGCCACATCCATTGCCGCAATCCCTGTTGGCATTGGTTTCACGGCTGACAAGATCGGGGTGCAAACACTTTCTGACCATGGCCCCAAAACTTCCCCTCCCTCATGGATAGCAGAGACTGTTGTGGCCCTTGCCCTGCTCTTCCTAGCAGGGGCTGGCTTCTTTTCATGCCCAGGGGAAGCAGGATTCCGGTGCTCACCTTATGGGGCACATCACGTGGGCCTTCTGGTTGTGGCTTTACCATGTCCTTGTTGCTCCCTGATGCCTGGGCAGCTGCTTCTGAGAGGGAGAGGGTGGTGCCAGGAATACTGAAAGTCCTGGGCCTGTTCTGCTCTGAGAGCAACTTCTGGGCTGCAGTTTGACACACATGGCTGAAGAACAAAGTGCCCTGTGATGCTTGAAGAATGCTGCTGGGGAAATAACACTCTATACCATAACTACGATATATCTCTGGTATGTATTAATTTATAATATACACTGTGTATGGTAATACACAAATCTATGTTTAACTAGTATTGTCATACAAACAAAAACTAGGAATGTTTCTAAGCTACACTTTTTCCTTGCCTGCCCTGCCACAGCTGGTGGGGCAGTGCTGCGTGCTGGTCTGCTCCTCTGCAGGTAACAGAAATGCTGTGAGCAGCTCAGCGGGGGTGGCAGGGAGAGATCACGTTGTCCCCGAGCCTGTACCGTGCCCTGCACTGGCTTAGAGGCATGTAGCATGGTGTTATAACTCGGCTGACAAACTCTGCTGTACAGAACACTTAAAATTCTTTCTAGGTGCTCTACTGCTTTCTAAGCTGGAAAGCTGGTTAAACCAGGGATTGTTCACAAAGCAAAGAAAAAAGGCAGGCAGGAGAAGCTGCCTCAACTTCCCCCACTAGAGCGGAGGAGATGGGGGTGCGCCTCCAGTGCCTGTGCTCCCCTTGCTGCTCAGGGGAGCTGCTCCCCATTTCTAGCTTGTCTACATTGGGAAGGTCTCCTCCAACCAGATTGCTGTGGGCTCACATTTCAGGTGATAGCTATGGCTTTTTGGTCTGCACTAAACTGTTTTATTTAGGGGTTATAGGTAATTTATAACCTTGGATTATGAAAACAGGTTGGTGCAGATGCCGTTGGCAGGCAGCAGGTCTTAGCTCCACTGCTGCCTGAGCAGAGCTGGGAGCCCAGCGCCCATGCAGAGCAGCCGGGTGGGGATAAGTAAGGCTGGTCACCTCAGGGGGCAGTCAGACAGCTGCTGTGGGACACCAGCGCTCAACTCCTTGTGGGGCAGAGACAGCCAGAGTAGGGCAAGCCAGAGCAGAGGCAGTGCTGGTCCAGCGGAGGGAAGGGAGTGCTGCTCAGTGTGCCAATCTGGCTGCATATCCCTAACAGGCTGGAGAAGAGGGAGAGGCTGATGCCAGGCAGGAAGGTTCTCCTGCTGTGTTCAGCCTAGTGAGCAGATCTGATCTTCCTGGTGTTTCAGAGAAAACCCTTTAGATGTGGAAAGATGAAGCTTCTACTGCTTTGAATCCTGTGAAGGAACAGGAGGAGAATAAGCTGGTGTGCGGAGTCCCCCAAAAGCCCTGCAGCTGCCTCTTCCCATACTGTGCACCCATCTCAGGCTGGGAGATGGAGACCTGTGCCCCTCGGTGCCCAGGCTCTTTCTGTGCCTGAATCTATTGTTCATGGTGCTGCAGAGCCACAGGGAAGTAGAGCATTGCCTTCTGCCTTTCCACCCCACTGCAACCAGGAGTCCTCAGCCACATGCCCAAGCCAAACCAGCACAGGAGCTGGTAAGCCCTCACACCCCATCAACATGGCAGCATGAGCCTGGGCTGCACTCTGGCCTCTACCCCTGTCCTCCCCGACACCCTGTGTGGGATGTGCAGGAGATGCCCCTCCTTGCCCGTGCCTGACGAGGGCCTAGAGCAGGTACTTACTCTAGGACTTCTTCAGTGTGTGACTGGTGCTCGGTTTTCTGAAAGAGAGGGGAAGAGAGCACCGTCAGCCATCACTCGCAGGGAGGGCAGTGCAGAGCTGGCATCTGAGCCATGGTTGTGTGCTTTTTGCACCCTCTTCTGCATGGGGTGCCCCTCCCCTTTCCCAGTCCAGGCAGCTCGGTGACACCATCCAGCTGCATTGCCCTGTCCTGGGCCACAGGAAGGACAGTGCTTAGTGTGCTGCTGCTAGCTATACCTGCTGGTTGTCTTCTCGGAACCGCTGCTCTTGCAGCTCTCCTTGTAGCAGACATCCTGGTGTACCTTGTAGACTCTTCTGTACCTATACACAGCAGAGGGCAAGTTAGAGGGAGTAACAGGGACAGTTCTACTTTTATGAGTAGAAGGGGGATAATCTGGGGATCTCCCCTGTTTCCTTCCAGGCTGTGGTAGCCAGAACTGACTGACCCCACACACCAGGCCCTTGTGTCTCCATCACAGGAAGGCTGTAGGTGGGGAGAGGGGGGCAAAGCAGATGCCCCAGCATGCCCTGGTATTGCAGCAGGGCTGGCTCCAGCCCTCTGCTTACAGATGGAAGAGGCACCCAGGAGCTGGGCTGGCAGGCAGCAGGCAGGGGACACACATACACACCCCCAAATCCCACCTCACTGCTGCATAGGTGGGTAACACTGCTATGGGGCTGTCATTTCAGCAATACCCTGCCCTGAAACACCGCTGGTAGGGCAGCCCCAGGGGCTTGAGGGCACACAAGGCTGCTCAGCCTGTGCTGGGGAGGGGGCAGCTGCCAGCTGGGGTCTGAGACGGCCTCGCGCTTGCTCTCCCTTCCCCAGAGCCAAGCTGCAGGGACACATCCCCGGCTCTGAGCACAAGGGAAGGGGGGAGCACAACCCGCAGGCAGTACTCACAGGTAGTGGCAGGTACCTCCTTCCCACACAGGGAATGACTTGGTTTCCGAGTACAGCCGCGTGCACGAGTGTGGCACCTTCTTGCAGGCTGCTTGGGGAATAGGAGAGGGGAGCTACCAACAAGCCCATCTCTGGCCCTGCCTGCCTGTGCCCTATGGGAAGGGAAGCCCTTTCTCTGCTGTCCTGGAGGGCTGGGCTCAACAGAGCTGACCCACCAGGAGAAGCAGAGCCCCCAGCTTCCACCGTGCCCAGATAACTACATGGGCAGCACAGGAGCCTGGCTTGCCAGGCCAGCTGGTGGAGATGGATGGCTTGGCTGGGAGCAGGGAGCAGATCTACACTCCTAGATCTGCCCGAACTGGCAAGAGCAGAGCACAGCCCTCCCTCTGTAGCAGAGCCTGGGCATGGTGGGAGTGCCCTTGGCTGAGAGGAGCTGGGTGCTGACAGGGCATGCTGGTGACCTGCGCCCTGAGGGACCTATGGCTGGGACAGCTCCAGGCTGGGCACACACCATCCCATGCAAGAGAGAGCTCGGTCCCCAGCAGCAACGTAGCACTCACCCAGCTCACAGAGCCGGCCCTTGAACCCTGGGCGGCAGCTGCAGTGGTAGGACTTGATGTCTCTGGTGCAGGTGCCTCCATTCCTGCAGGGGTTTGTGGAGCAGTTCTGCCCCTCACCTGCAAAACACAATAGCTGTCAGACCCTGTGGCACAGCCCTGCTCACCCCACCAGCATGCCAGGGTACTCCTGGGGAGAGCTGCAAGCAGGTAAGCTGGGATGGGGCAGCCGGCAGGGACCCATGCAGTGCCCCTTGCGTGCCTCCCAAGGGCAGCAACAAGAAGGCAGGCTGGTGCCAAGCACTCTGCCTGCCTGTGGGGCCTGAGCTGGGCCCTGCTGCTCGTGTCTCCCCCCAGGACTTACTCTTGCTCTTCTCCTGCAGCTGCAGTGCCAGGCTGCTGTGGCTGGACACTTCCATGTTGACCCTTCCATGTTCTCCAGCTTCACTGGAGCATCCAGCTCTGGGCAACAAGAGGGTCCAATGTCAGCTCGAAACAGAGCCAGACTCAAAGGCAGCCCCTTCAATGGGATCCAGCTTGCCCACAGCATCAGGGGCTGGTCAGGCCTGACGCAGTGGTAGAAGCCCTTCCCAGCTGTCATCCCTAGAATTAGGGTGACCGTTTCCCCCTTCCTGGAGGGCTGTGGGACACAGACCCGTGGGTAGACAGGGGCAGAACAGAGACATGTGGCAAGCCCATGGCTACTGTCAGGTGTGCCAGACTCCTTTCCCACCCCATCACGTGGGGTTCCCAGGCCTGGCAGGAGGTCTTGGGATGGCGCTTGTATCCCTGGTGTTCCGGGGTTACTGAGGGGCTTCTCACCCAGGTGCCCTCCTTGAGTGTGAGGCTGTGTTTTGCAGTGGGGTCTCAGGCTGTTGGGCAGGCAGGGCCTGTGCTAGAGGGCTGCAGGGTCACTGCCTGGGTCACTGCTGCTGCTGGCAGGGGAGAAGGCCAGCCCGTACCGCAGCCAGCATTGCCTTCCATCAGCAACGGTCCCTCTCTGGGCTCCCTGACTGGCTCTGCCTCACCCCTCTCCCTGGGCAGGGGTCTAGCAAGCAGGGCAGGTGTTTGTCTGCCTTCGTCTATGGCTCCACCATCCCTACAGCAGCCTGCCCAGCTGCCACCCTGTCATGGGGGTAGACATAGGAGATGGCACTGAGTGAGGGGGGTGGGGGTAAGCAGAAAGGCAGCAGAGCACTTACGTGTCTTCATGGTGATGGATTTGCCGAACCTGGCACTGATCCTCCCTCTGCCATCCACCAGCTCGGTGAACCTGGGACAGAAGAGCCATGAGGGTAAGGGGCACTGTGGGTCCCCCAGGCCATAACTATCCCACAATCTAGGGCTGGATGCAGCTGGTTTGGTGCGAGTCCTGCAGGCAGCACAGGGTACCCGATCACAGCGGGAGCATGGCTTGACCATATGTGCACCCAGACACAGGAGCTGGGAAAAAGGGCTGAGCACCGGTGGAAGGGCCAGAAGTGCTGGAGCAGTGGCTACCTGGGGGCTGGTGAGGGTTCCTCAGCTGCATTGTGATCTGCTAGCAAGCGGAGCTCAGGCAGGAAAGCTGGAGGCAGCCTGTTGCGCAGGACCCGGGGGTGTCCAGCTTGGCTCCACCGTCTCTCCAGAGCCCCATCCCTCTGCACTGCAGACCAAAGGGTTAGACTTAGTGGGAGGCAGGCCATTAGTCAGCATGGTAACCTAGCTCCCAGCCAGTCCCTTTGTCCCCGGGATACTGTTTTGGGCTGTCTGTGGACACATGCGCACTCTCCACAAGCCTGGGCTGCAAATGCCAGTCCCCACAAAGTGTCATTGAGCTGTAACTCTGCATCTGCCCTCCTCTAACAGAGGGAGCATCCTGCAATCCCCACCTCCTGTCCCCAGAGCCTGCTGCAGGCACACGGTTCTGGGTAGCACCTTCCCATGCCCTGCCCCACTGCCGCCCTCGTGCTGTGTCAAACCCCAGCCCTGGCGAGCCATGCACTCACAGGTGGTGACGTAGAGGTAGATGGGCTCACTGTGCACTTGGCCTTGCTCTGTGTTCTGCACAGCCGTGACGGACAGGCGGTACCGCTGCCCAGGCAGCAGGTCTCGCACCGTGTAGGACACGAGCTTCCCATTGGGTACGTAGCGGCTCTTCACACTCTGAGCGGTGGTGACATTGATGATGTACCCCTCGACGGCGCCAGCAGGTGGCTGCTCCCACACCATGGACACGGAGGTGGTGGTGACACGGGAGGCAGTGAGGTTCTGGGGGGGAAGAGGCCCTGGGATAGGCAGCAGGTGGGGCAAAATGGGTCAGCACTGGCTTCCTCGACTGTGATTGCCCTACTTGCACGCATGCCACTCTGTAAGCATGCCCTGACTGGCCCTCAGCCTGGCTCCAGCCGTGCAACACACCAGGAGGAAATGCTCAGCACTAGGTCCCTGCCAAGGCAGACAGAACCTCACTGCACCTTGGCAACCAGTCTGGCCCTCATGACCCTCCAGCTGCCATACAGCAGGGGAGCAACTGGGCCTGTGCAGGCTCTGCATGGGGCTGAGCTAATGCTGGTCCTGGGCAATGAAAACCATCTGGCAGGGGAGGACATGCCACAGCCCTTCCTGCTTCTCCCCAGGGCTGCCTGCACAGCTGCTGCCCGCCGTGCTGGCCCGACAGGCCGGAGGGTTTCGCACCTT